TCCAGACGGTCTCCTGTTCCTGGCTGAGAAGATCCAGGGCCCCTTTTCCTTTGAGCTGGCAGCTCAGGCCATTGGGGTGAAGATCTCGGAAGGTTTGATGTACCTGCAGGAAAACAGTGTAGGGGTGTCCACCAAGGTACAGGAGCCTCCAGGAGCGCGGGAGTGCCAGCCTGGGGGCCGGGAGGAGCCGTGTGGGTATCAGCTGTAGTACGGGAGAGAACGGGCCGGAGGCCAGGGCCTGGGATTGTGAGACAGGGTTGGGTGTCAGGGAGTCACTGTAGGTGCCTGGGGAAGCAGGGCTATGGGGAGATGTAGGTGTTGGAACGGAGATTCGGTGTCCGTTTCATCCTGCGGGGCACCCCTGTGCCACAGGTGTTTCAGGAATGTGGCGTCCCCCCCAAGGCCATGGCCCGTGCCCACCGAGGCCTGGCACCCAGAGAGGAAGTGGGCCGGCTCCGGACCGCGGCCGCAGGGGCGGAGGAGGAGCAGCCCACGACAGCTGCGGGCAGCAGCCTGCCCCGGATGGTGAGTTGGGTGGGTGGCACGCGTGTGGGTGCTGGGTGGGAGGATGGGCACGCGCTGCAGCTCCACCTGCTCTCCCTGCACTCCCAGGTGTGGGAGCTCCGCGAGCGGCTGGACCGAGCCCGGGGCTTCTGGGCCGGGCTGCCCCTGGCGGTGTGCGGGGACTCCCGCATGGCATTGGACACCACGCAGGAAGCGGCGCCCTGCTGGACCGGAACCGGGCGGGGCCGGTGAGAGTGGGGGGGGGGGCAGGTGGGCGGCTTGGTGGGCGGGCGAGGCCCAAATCCGGGGCGGGGCGGGAGCCTTTAGGGCTGCTCTGCTCGCAGGTACCTGTTGCCGGTAGTCGGAGGGCCCCTGGCCAAGCAGCTCAACAATCCAGAGGTGGACGTGGAAGCCTCAAACCCCGACCTCCGGACTCGGATGCGGCGGCTGCAACTCCGGTCAGCTACCATGAGGATGAGGGCAGCTGCCCAGGGACGCGACCTAGATCTGGAGGACTGGGGTGAGACCTGACACCCCGGGGATGGGGAGGCGGGGAGGAGGGCCCTGGTGGTCTCCCTCCTCTGGTTGCTTGGGATTGGACCTTGGACCCGCCCACTGCTTCCTGAGTCCCTCCCTTCCCATCTTGTTATCATTCATGCATTCATTTTGCAATCATGAATTGAACCCTTACCTCAAAGGTTAGGGATAGAAGACCAGTATGAGAGAAGGTCTCTATCTGTGCGTTCACATTCCAGTTGAAGAGTCTCCAAAACATTCTTACAGAACAGTGGGCAAAGGACTGTGGGAGATTGGGGAGGGTCCTCCTCCCCCCACACCCCTCCAGCAGGGTTGGGGTGCCATTGGGCTGGCTTCCCAAAGCAGAGTTTGCCAGAAAAGCAAGGCAAGAACATTAATTTTCTTTCTTCCCATCTGCCTGTCTCTCTTTTCTGTCTCATTGTCTTTTCTTCTGTCTCCCATTGCCTGTCCTCATTCTCATGTCTACCTGATCTATTTCCCACTGCCCCTTTTACCCGCCCCTGTCTGTCTCTGACCCACTCCCTCCCGGCAGAGGAGGATGCCAGTGGCTCTGGAGAAGGACACTATGCAGATGACTGGATGGCCGGGGCAGCGGCTGTGGCCCCCCCAGCCCGGCCTCCTCGTCCTCCTGGCCGCAAAGGAGGTTTCATCATCCGCCAGAACCAGGGCAGGAGCAGGACTGGGGGGGCATCACTTGGTTTTCACACTCAACCCATTCTCATTCTCCTCCTCTCAGCCCTGGCCATGCTCGGACCTCGATAACAGGGGACGGGTGCCCTGGCATCAGAGGGGTTCATGGCCCTTTCCCTCCTCCCCTCTCAGCTGAATCTGGGGAGGAGTTGAAGGGGGCTGCAGAGAGGGTTGACTAGGGACTTTTTGGGTGAATGGCTAGGGCCCCAAATCCAGGAGATTCCCGTTAGGATTGGGTGGATGTTCACATATTTATTTTTTCATTTGGCATCGGGGCGGGGGGTTGGGGGTATTTAGAGAGGACTTGTGGTCTCTCCAACTGAGCCTCTAAGTCTGGGCTCTGGTGGTCAGCCCCAAAGAGGAGAAAGGGAAGATTTTTAGGGTGACAGTAGGGGGGGTAGGGTTTGAAGGAAGTTGAAAGTGGGGAGTGGTGGGTTCACCTGGTCTCTGAAATGGACAAAGCTGGGTGCTGGCAGGGTGCAGGGCAGGGAACTTGGGTGTGTGAATAGGATATCAGGATCTCTGGTCCTTGATTCTATGTTTGTTTGTTTTTCAGTATCAATTTCTTAAACTAAAATGCAAAAAATAAAAAATAAGAATTCATGACCTCTACCAACCACATGTTTCACAAGTTTTGCATTTTACAAATAAACAACTAATTTATTGGGCCCTGAGTGTGACTTTTCTGTAACTTCAGCAGCTCTCGCTGAGCCTGGCTCCTTGCAGGGGCCCCAGAGCCTCACATGGCTCTTTCTGCTTGCTTCTGGCCTCTCTTGGATCCTGTCCCCTGATACTGAACTTGGGCAAGTTGTTCACCCTCTGGATCGGAGGACCTTCATTTGTAAGATGGGGAGAAACGTAAGGACCAAACAGGAACTGTGTGAGGAAGCATCTTGCTACGGGCAAAATTCTTGAATACGAAGCATCATTAATATTTCCACACTGCTGCCCCCTGCCTCCAGAGCGGGGCTCCTGTTCTCTGCGTCAGCCTCTGGCTGCCTTGTCACAAGTTCTTGCCAATGTCTGCTTTCAACTCTTGTCTGTTACTTTCTCCTTTCTGTCCCCTGAATGAGTCTTTTGTTCTGCAGAAAGCAGAGAAAGAAAAGGTATAAATGACTCTTAAGTGTGAAAGGAGGGTAGAAATTGTGTCTTCCAAGGGCAGCTATGTGCCCTGACCCCAAAAAGAGAAAAGAAAAAAGAAAAAAAAGATGCAGGGAGGGAGAGACCCAGAGACTCGATCAAAGCTGAAGCAGCTGCCGGGACTGGCCAGACAAAGGGAGGGAGAGGGGAGGAGCCTGGGCGCTGAGAAAGTTGATGGGGAAAGTTTAGCAGAGTGAGGAACCGGGGCGGTGGCTGGGGAAGGCCAGATCCTGATTACCCTGCTGCCCCGCAGGAGGCTTGGTGAGTGGGCAAGTGACATGAAGGCTGCAGCCAGTGGAAGGACTCGAGTTTATGGGAGGAGTCTTGGGGGAGGGGGTGGTTATCACCAAAGCTGGAGGGGACAGAGGGCTGGAATTGAGGATAATAGGAGGAGACAGAGATGGGTGGAAGGAATAGAAGAAATCTGGACACAGAAACAATGCAAGGCTAGAGCCTGGGGGCTGTGTTAGGGGAGGGATGCCAGAGAGGGCAGGTCTTTAAGTAGCAAATACGGGTTTCCGTGTCTGGAGTTGCGCCTGGCTGTCCCGGAGGGGGCTGTCCGGGCTTGTTGGAAGGGCTGTGCCCCTGGTTGTGGGTTGTAATCTGAAGGGGTGGGTCGGACTCCCAGCTGATTAGGAAACTGGGGCTTGGGAAGGAATTCCAAACTGAACGCTCCTCTATCATATCTGTCTCTCTCTCCTGCCCCACCCACTGAGTCTCCTCTGGGGGCACTGATAGGGCTGAAAAGGGAATGGGGTTGGGGGTGGGTGGGGTGAGGGTATGTCTGGAAATCTGGGTTTTGTAAATAAGCCCGCATCTCCCCCAGCCCCTCCCACACTGGGGTGGGCCCTGTGCCAAGAGGGAAAAGAGATGCTTGAATTTACACCAGATGCCCGGCTCTTACTCATTACGGAGTCACTCCTGTGGTCTCACCTCTCCGGGTTCATCTGCCTGACCCACATTCCTTCCCTGTGGCTTTCCCTCTCAGCCTCCAAATGGGGCTCTTCATCCCGACGGAAGCTCAGGGGGGAGCCAGGGCCCGGCGATGTCGCCTCACTGTCCTGAGCAGATGGGTCTGATCTTTCTTGCAGGGTCTCTGGCTTTCCCCTCCTTCCCTTCCAAATCCCGGAGGCTCAGGGGGAAACTCTGGGCGGTTGGAGAAGCTGGAGGCAGTCGGCAGAGGAGTAGTGGTGGGGCCACCTGGATCTGGGTGTAGAGAGCACACACCCTCACCAACACCCTCCTCTGAATTAGTCCTAGCTGTAACAGCAGGAGAGAAGGCTCTACCCTCTCCTTAGACTCCCTCCTTCCCCTCATTTCCCTTCTAGACGCTGACAGAGGCAAAAATCTGCTAACTCAGGGGGCAGACTTAACTAGGGCTGCAAACGGGCCTGGGGAATGACCCCCAATCTCGAACCAGCACCTTCTGTGGCTGCACAGCTGCCTCTGCCTCTTTGCCTGGCCCTGGCCCTGTCACCCTTCCCGGTGCCACATGGGCCCTCTGTCTCCTGCCAGGACCATGCGCCTCTGGGGGCCTCGGAGCCTGGGGGTGGCTTTGGGAGTCTTCATGACCATCGGATTTGCCCTCCAGCTCTGGGGCGGGCCCTTCCAAAGGAGGTGAGTTTTATCTTGTCCCAATGCCTGGTAGATGTCCCCCCCCCCCCCCCATTTGCTCCTCCCACTCCTACCTGGGGCTGTGACTCCTGGGAACTTGGAGGAGGCTCCACACCCGCTGTCCTTGCTCTTCAAGATGCCTGTCCACCTGCTGGTGAGGGACAGGATACTTTCCCTCCCGTCTCTCCCCAGGTTACCTGGGCTGCAGCTCCGACAGCCCTGGGCCCCCTCCCTAGGACCAGCTGTTCCATCCTGTCCTCCCCGGCAGCGACTGGTGTTCCTGAAGACGCATAAATCCGGGAGCAGCTCTGTGCTGAACCTGCTTCATCGCTACGGGGACCAACGGGGGCTGCGCTTCGCCCTCCCTGCCCGCTACCAGTTTGGCTACCCGAGGCTTTTCCAGGCCTCCTGGGTCAAAGGCTACCACCCTCAGGGTGGAGGCACCCAGCCCCCCTTCCACATCCTCTGTCATCACATGAGGTTCAACCTGAAAGAGGTGAGAGGTGTGGAGGGTGTGGGTGGGACTGGAGAGGGATGGGATCAGGCCTGTGGCCAGGACCATCGGTGGAGGAGGCCCTAGGCACGGCACGGGGGCTCCCGAGGAGTCACCTCACCCAAAAGGTGGACAGGGGGCCACAGAGGTGAAATTTCCTGTTCTCTCCTCAGGAGTTTCTGAGAGCTGAAGTCCTGCCCCCTCCCACCTGGTGCATGCTCCAGTCTCCTTCCCTGACCAATTTATCAGCACTCTGCCAAGTCTGAATCTCACTCCCTAACTCCCCCTCCAGGTGCCCCTTTCCCTTCTTAGCCCCTTCCATCGATACCACCAGGACCTCTGCTTAGCCACTGCCCTCTGACCTGTCTTCCTCTCACTCCCCTCACCATGTCTGCCAGATTTTGAGAATCAGGTGTATGCCAAGGCATAGCCCAGCCCTGGCCCCCTCAGCCTCACTTCTAAAGGGGGAGATAGGTACATGGACTCACATATTCATCTGAACACACAGAAAGCTGAGAATTCTTAGAGGAAGAAAGTCAATGTGCAAATGAAAAACATAAGGAGAGGGACTAACTGTTATTGAATACTTCCTGAATTCTTGGTATTAATCTTACCATCACCTTGCCAGGAAGACATTACAAGTGCCTCCATTATACAGAAGAGGAGTCAAGACTCCGAGAGGCTTAGTGACTGGTCTCTTGGTCATATTTGAACCCAGGCCCATCTGCTCCAAAGTCGGAGTGCCTTCCCTGGCATATGTGCATGTACATGTTTGTATTTGGAACTATGAGAAGAATATTCATCAGAAGGAGGTGGGGATTTCTGGAGAGGCAGGTTTTAAAGGGTGGAGATGATTTTGTAGTAAGGAGGACACTAGGCATTCTTAGAGGGAGCAGGATATCAGGAAAGGCATGGTGATGTGGACGTGTGTGTGAAGGGTTGTGTGTGTGTCTGTGTGTATAGGTGGTAGAAGTTCAGCGGGGGCTGCAGACCCACTGCTGATTAAGTCAGAGCTGGAGAAAGCAGCCGAGGCACATGAGTGTGATCTAATGGGCGAGGAGGACCCTCTGCTGGGAGGGAGGTGATGACAATGGAGGCAGGTTTCTCCAAAGGTTAGGATGAGGACCTTCATTGTCACCCTCATTCATCTGAATACCGATCGCCTTCCATGTATTTCCACATTCTTCGAGGTAAGTGTTAACCCAGATTCATAGATGGCGGAAGTTCAATAAACTGCCCAAAGTTACGTAACTGGTAAATGCCTGAATTGGGATTTTATTCTAGGTCCACCTGATGCCACAGATTATTCTCTGCACTGTTCTCTTCTTCCTTCAAAGAGACACACAGTTCCCTGGCTCTGCCCTGCACACATGCCCATACTAGCAGAGCAGATGGGAGGACAGCATGTCAGAGAGTCAGGTTCAATGACAGTCACATTCAGAGGCAGGGAGCCCGGGAGCTGGTTTTTAATGGGCACCTGCCTGGCTCAACCTGATTCCCACCTTCCTTCTTGTCGAGAAGTGGAACCCAATGTGCCAGGCCTCAGGGCAGCTCCCTACAAAGTGACCATGGCTCCCCAGTGTCCAGTTCAGAAGTGTCTCTTGCTCTCCAAGATGCCCAGGAGCCCCACAAGTGCCCTGTCCTTCAACCAGCCTGGGCTTGTCTGCCCACCTGACACCTGTACCTGAGGCAGCATTATGGCTGCCCCTCTCTGCCCTCTTGGCTGCCAGTGATTCCCACCCCCCACTGAAGAGGCCTCAGGCCAGTTTCTTTCTTGGAGCAGGGACCAAGAGTTCCAGGGTAGATTCTTAATAGGTTTTTTTTGTTGGAGAAGTGAACACAAAGTTTGCTTCTTAGAGATTTTTCTGACCAAGGCAGACAGTAATGCCAAAGAAAATACATGTTCTCCAGGAACTTCCCATGCCCCAGGTTCCTTCATATTCTTTTTTAAAAATATATATATTTTATTGATTTTTCACAGAGAGGAAGGGAGAGGGATAGAGAGCTAGAAACGTCAATGAGAGAGAAACATCGACCAGCTGCCTCCTGCACACCCCCCCACCGGGGATGTGCCCGCAACCAATGTACATGCCCTTGACCGGAATCGAACCCGGGACCTTTCAGTCCACAGACGGACCAACTCACTATCCACTGAGCCAAACCGGTTTCGGCTCCTTCATATTCTTTAATCCATGTAACTTCCACAATGAGCTCGGAAGGAAGATAGGGGTATCCCCATTTTGTAGATGAGCAAATTGCATCTCAGAGACATCAGTAACTTGCCCAAGATCTGTTAGCTAGTGGAAAAAGCTGGGGGTCCCTCTTAGAGCTGTCAGGAGGCTGGGGGATCTTCGGGCATCGGGCTTACACTTCTTTTCTCCCTGGCCCACTTCCTTCTCCCCGTGACTGTTTTCTCTCCTCTGCAGGTGCTTCAGGTCATGCCTTCTGACAGCTTCTTCTTCTCCATTGTCCGAGACCCAGCAGCTCTGGCCCGCTCTGCCTTCTCCTACTATAAATCCACCTCCTCAGCCTTCCGCAAGGCACCTTCCTTGGCTGCCTTCCTCGCTAACCCTCGAGCCTTCTACCGACCTGGGGCCCGTGGAGACCACTATGCTCGCAACTTGCTATGGTTTGACTTTGGCCTCCCATTCCCCCCCGAGATGAGGACCAAGAGAGGATATTCCCATCTCCCCGGTGACCCCAACCCCCCAGCGCTGCACGTCCTGCCTTCTGGCACTGGCTCTCGAGCCCACACCCTGGATCCCAATGCTCTCTTCCCTCCTGCTCCCCCCACTGCTGATGGTCACAGCCAGACGCCCAGCCCCGCTGCTTTAGACTTGGGGTCTTCATCCCTCGTCCAGTGGAGTCTGGCCTGGCTGGACTCCGTCTTTGACTTGGTCTTGGTGGCCGAGTACTTTGACGAGTCGTTGGTTCTGCTGGCAGACGCCCTGTGCTGGGGCCTAGATGATGTGGTGGGCTTCATGCACAATGCCCAGGCTGGAAGTGAACGGGGCAGAAATGCGGTCAGCGATGGTGGACTGACCACTGAGGACAGGCAACTAACTGCACGGGCTCGAGTCTGGAACAACCTGGACTGGGCTCTTTACGTTCACTTTAACCGCAGTCTGTGGGCACGCATAAAGCAATATGGCCAGGGTCGCCTGGAGAGTGCGGTGGCGGAGCTCAGGGCTCGCCGAGAGGCCCTGGCTAAACACTGTCTGCTGGGGGGTGAGGCTTTAGACCCCAAATACATCACTGACCGCCGGTTCCGCCCTTTCCAGTTTGGATCAGGTAAGGTTTTGGGCTATGCGCTTCGGAGCGGACTGAGCCTCCAAGAGCGGGAGGAGTGTGAGCGCCTGGCTACCCCGGAGCTACAGTACAAGGACAAGCTGGATGCCAAGCAGTTCCCTCCAAAAGTCTCTCTGCCCTTCAAGACTTCAAAGCTACTCGCCCCATAGGCATTAGACCACTGAGTATTAGGTTAAAGAGCAGCTAAGCCACAGGACACGTGACCATTGTGGGACAGCCAGCTGACATTTCTGCTTCTCCTGGGAAGCAAGTCTGCCCCCTACAGGATGACTGGAACGTTGCATGGATGTGGGCCCCAAGTCCTCCAGGCTGGGCCAAAGCCTCCGGTTGTTCAGCTCCCAGCAGCACTCCTCCACCCCCCCCCCCCCCCCCCCCCGCCCCCATGCCCCTTCCCCTTTCCAGCCCCCTGGCAGGTCCATGTAGCACTCGCAAAGGCTCCCTGGAGGAGCAAACCACGATTTAAGCCAGAGGAAGTCTGGGACACGGTGGATTGGAAATATCCGTCCATGTCTCTATGAAATGTTTGTTCCTGGGCTACGCTCATTTCACTATGAAAATGTTTGTTGAATGAATAAATAATTTGAAACTTTTGGACTTGCTTTATGTAGAGCAGAAAGGGAAGGGGATGTTGCATCTTCGTGATAGATGCGTGGGGTGGAGAGGGTTTTTTTATTTTTTATTATTTTTTTATTTTTATTATTTTTTATTTTTTTAATTTAATTTTAATTTTTTCTCATTTTTTTAATTAAGGTATTATATGTGTACATACCTTACCAAGAGAGGGTTTTTAAAAAAATATTTTATTGATTTTTTACAGAGAAGAAGGGAGAGAGATAGAGAGCTAGAAACATCGATCAGCTGCCTCCTGCACACACCCCACTGGGGATGTGCCCGCAACCAAGGTACGTGCCCTTGACGGGAATCGAACCTGGGACCGACCCTTCAGTCCGCAGGCCGACGCTCTATCCACTGAGCCAAACCGGCCTCGGCGGGTTCTTTTTAATATTACTTCTCCGAAAAGCCTGTCTAGAGTCTCCCCTAAATCCTTCTTGCTGCAATGCAACTGCAGCCGGACCCCGCCCCTCTCCTCCAGGGCCCGTCACTCACAGATTCCGGGGCCTCAGGCCACGCCCCCTCCCTTCCGCTTCCGGCTTTTCTCCAGTCATTCTCCGGGCACCGGTTCCGGCCCCGCGGGGTCTCGGTTCCGGGTCGGTGGTCCCGGTTCCCGGCCCCGGGGAGGTCTCTGGGCCGGCGGGCCGCGCGCAGCCCCCGTCCGGCGTGGGACCTCCCGCCGGGCCCATGGAGTCCCAGTGCGACTACTCGATGTACTTCCCGGCCGTGCCGCTGCCGCCGCGCGCGGAGCTGGCGGGGGACCCGGGCCGCTACCGGGCGCTGCCCCGGCGCAACCATCTCTACCTGGGGGAGACCGTCCGCTTCCTGCTGGTGCTGCGCTGCCGCGGGGGCGCGGGCTCCGGCGCCGGCGGGGGCCCGGGCTTGGGCTCCCGAGGGGCCTGGGCAGAGCTGGCCACCGCCCTGGCAGCCCTGGCCTCGGTCAGCGCCGGGGGCGGCCCTGGCGACCAGGATCTCGAACCCCCCGGGGGCGGGGATCCGGGCGGTGGGGGTTTGTTTCGAGGCTGCAGCCCCCTTCTCACCCACGGCCCGGGCCCGGCTACCTCAGGGGGAGTGACCACGGTGAGGAGCTGGGGTGATCTGCTGGGCCTCAAAGACCGGACGGGAGAAGGACATGGGAGGGAAGCTGGAGGCGGATGATGGATGAGGACAGAAGTGGGCACCTCTTAAAGGAAACTGCCTCTCTCCTAACCTCCACCCCTTGCACACCTCTAGCTGCCTGTGGAAGAGCCAATTGTGTCCACAGATGAGGTCATCTTCCCACTCACTGTTTCACTGGATAGACTGCCCCCAGGGACACCGAAGGCCAAGGTAAGATTGGCAAGGGGCGAAGCTATTGTCCTAATTCACTTGTTCTCTCTAAGGCTGGCTGGCCACCTCTCCTCCTGACTGGCCCCGTGTTCCTTTTGCGCAGATTGTAGTAACTGTGTGGAAGCGGGAGGTCGAGGCACCAGAGGTCAGAGACCAAGGCTACCTGCGCTTGCTGCAGACACGATTTCCTGGGGAGACCTTCCGGGGAGAGCAGAGTGCTTTCAAGGCCCAAGGTGGGGAGAATGCAGCGAGAAAATGCTGGAGTGACTGTGGGTTGGACGTGAGGTCTGTGCCCAGGCCCAGCCCATCAATTCTTGTTCTTGCTCCTGCCCTCTCTCGCAGTGAGTACCCTGCTGACTCTGCTGCCCCCTCCAGTTCTGAAATGCCGCCAGTTCACTGTGGCTGGAAAACACTTGACTGTTCTCAAGGGTGAGCAGATTGGTGGCTAAGGTCTTGGGTAGCAGCAAGGGCGATGATTGGGTGGCAGTTTCCCTGTGCAGACTTGGGAGGATAGGTCCATTTTGGGGTTTTAAGGTGGGATCTGAGGGGTCCAGATAATCACTGAGCTGGTTGCCTTCGACAGTGCTGAACAGCTCTTCCCAAGAGGAAATTTCCATCTGGGATATACGTATTCTCCCAAACTTCAATGCCAGTTATCTACCTGTCATGCCCGATGGCTCTGTGCTGCTGGTGGACAATGTCTGGTGAGGTCCTGGGAAGGGGCAGTGCTGCAAAGTGTTGGGGCTGGGCTCAGGGCTGAGAGCTCTGGCCTGGAAAGATGCAGCTCTGTTCCCTTTCTTCTGAACTAGTCACCAATCTGGGGAGGTCTCCATGGGCTCCTTCTGTCGGCTTCCTGGTACCTCTGGCTGCTTCCCCTGCCCACTCAGTGCCCTAGAGGAACACAACTTCCTGTTTCAGCTGAGGGTGGGTGAGCAGCCACCTCCAGGGGCCAAGGAGGTGAGTATAAGGGGCTGGTGATTTCAGAAAAAGTTAAGAAAAAGCAGTGGGCCCTAGCTGTTTAGCTGGGTGGGTAGAGCATAGGCCTGTGTACGGAAGGGTCCTGAGTTTGATTCTGGGCGAGGGCACATAACCTTGTTCACAGGCTCAATCTCCGGCCCTGGTCAGGGCTTGTGTGGGAGGCAACCCACATCGATGTTTCTCTCTCTCTTTCCCCCTCCCTTCCACTCTCTAAAAATCTATAGAAAAATATCCTCAGGTGAGGATTAACAAAAAAAGAAAATGCTAGGGTGTTACCTGAGGATGAGAGGGGATCTCTTTCGCATGATGGTCCCCTCTGCTCCTCCCACAGGGCCTGGAAGTCCCCTTGATTGCTGTGGTTCAGTGGTCCACCCCAAAGCTGCCCTTCACCCAGAGCATCTACACCCACTACCGGTGAGTGTGGGACCCTTGGCGGGACCACCCTGTTCACCTTGTTTCAAAACACGTCCATCCTGCTTTCCTCTCTCGCTGCTTCTAGCCTGCCCAGCATTCGCCTGGACCGCCCGTGCTTTGTGATGACTGCTTCCTGTGAGTCCCCAGTTCGGACCTACGAGCGTTTCACGGTCACTTACACGCTGCTCAACAATCTCCAAGACTTCCTTGCTGTGAGGCTCGTGTGGACCCCGGAGAACGCACAGGCTGGTAGGGTGCTGCCAGGCTGGGCCTTTGTCCCGAAGGTGGGGAGGGGAAAGGAAGAAGTCACGGAGGTGGGTGACATGTGGCACTGGCTTGTGTCACAGATAGGAAATTTAGAGACAGTGGGGCAGGATGACTTAAGAGCACTGACACTGATGCTGGCTCCCTGGTATGTTTGATTTCTGCCTCCATCATTTACAAGCTGTGTGACCCTGGGTGGTTACTTACCCTCTCTGAACCTCAGCTCCCTCATCCCTAAAAAGGAGAAAATAATACTGCTCCTCCCACGAGGATACGATGGTGACTTAAAGATTTAATGTATATGAAGTGGTTAGAGTGGACCTCAGCAAATATCAGCTGTTATTTATAACATTTGGCGAAAGATATACTCAGTTTACTCCACAGGGTGACTTTGGAGATTAATCAAGACTGTGCTCATGGAAGCCCCTTGCGAGGAACTCTATTCAGATGTTTACTGGTCTCTGTTTCTGCCCCGCAGGAAAGCAGCTGTGTGAGGAGGACCGTCGGGCCATGCAGGCTGCCCTGGACTCCATTGTCTGCCACACGCCCCTCAACAACCTCGGCTTCTCCCGGAAGGGCAGTGCCCTCACCTTCAGTGTGGCCTTCCAGGCTCTAAGGGCGGGGCTCTTTGAGGTGGGCTGGGAGGTGCTGAGAGGGTGGGCGGGGTGGTGGGTGATGCAGGACGTTGGGATAGGAGGCACCAGGGCTGCTGGCTGCTGGAGAGGAAATACAATGGATGGCACCAAAGCCATGCTGAGGGGAGGCGGAATTCCGATCCCGTATTGGTCCGTCAAGGGGAAAGGTGATTTGAAAGGAGATCGGGGGCCTGGAAGCCAAGTGGGAATGCTGATCTGTGTCTTTCCGCCCCAGCTGAGCCAGCACATGAAACTGAAGCTACAGTTCACTGCTAGTGTGTCCCACCCTCCGCCCGAGGCCCGGCCCCTCTCTCGGAAGAGCAGTCCCAGCAGCCCAGCTGTCCGGGACCTGGTGGAGAGGCACCAGGCCAGCCTGGGCCGCTCTCAGTCCTTCTCCCACCAGCAGCCTTCCCGCAGCCACCTCATGAGGTATGGAGCCCGGGGAGGGGAGCCAGGAGCCAGGATTGGAGAGGGAGCTGGAAGCCGTCCCGAGGTCTAACGAGAGCCCACATCTGCCTTCCTCCAGGTCCGGCAGTGTGATGGAGCGCAGGGCCATCACACCCCCTGTGGCCTCCCCAGTTGGCCGCCCCCTCTACCTGCCCCCAGAAAAGGCTGTGCTCTCTCTGGACAAGATTGCCAAGCGCGAGTGCAAAGTGCTGGTGGTGGAGCCTGTAAAGTAGCGCCTTGCCGGCCCCCTTATACTCCCAGGAACTGAATGCCTCTGGAGGGGTCCTCGCTCCAGGCTGTGCCCCCCTGGGGTGCCTCCCGTGGTGGGTGAGGCGGCCGTGGCCTGTCTGTGTCTGCTGAGGAGGGGAAAGCTGTGAAACGGGCGGGTGTGGCTGCAGCACTAAACCAACAGTATTCCCCTGACTGCCGGGAGGGCTGGTCCCACCCCTTGGTCAGGGCAAGGGTTCCAAGAGCTCCCGGTTCCCGCCCTGCTCCGGGCTCTAAGTTTACAGTGGTTTCTCACTCCCATTAAGTTGTCTTTCCTGCCTCTGAAATCTGTGCCCCCCCCCCCCCGCCCCCCGGGGCTGAGATTAGAGGGTGGTGATGGTACAGGGACCCAGACAATGACCCTTCTGTCTCAGAGGTGAGGGGCCACAGGTGGCGGCCTCTCCCTGCCCCTCATGTTTACGTTTGCGGCCTGAAGCACTTTAAGTTGTGTGGGTTTTGTTTTCGTTTTTTTGTCTGTCCCTGTAACTTATTCTCCAACTACTGCTTCCAACTGAAATAAGACTATTAAATGGCTGTTCAGGAGGGAGAAGAATGACTGTTGTTTGTGTGTTGGTGGAAGAAGCAGAGACCAGAGCTCCAAATGGTTCCCTCCAGCATGCCTACCAGGTAGTTCCTGTCAGCTCCCTCCCCCATACACACTTCCCCAGGCCTGGGAACACCAGAATCATGTTTATTAGGAGGGAGGCCCCCTGTCCTCCCTCTAACACTGCGCAGAGTCGCCGAGCCTCTGCCCTTTCAGGTAATGGGGTGTGGAGGAGAGGGTGAGCAGAAGGCCTCCAGGCTGGCAGCAGGCACAGGTTCACGGATCGAGTCCACCTCTTCCCTCGCCCTCGGCAGGCTCAGACGTCAATGGGCTCCCGGCCTCGGTTCTGCCTCTTCACCACAAACACCCTCTGTCCTGACACGGTCACCAGCAGCGTGTGTTCTCCAAAGACCACTGGAGGGAGACACGCCTTCCCGAAGCCCGGAGAGGGAAGGGAACACGGAGTTAGCGGGGTGTAATGGCCTCCGTGGGGTCATACACAACTGGCTGGGATCAAGAGCCAAAGAAACTAGGTGGTTTGAGGCTCAGAGATCTGAAGATGGGACGTCTGCATTCAACACTTTTACTTCCTCATACTTGTGATACAGGGGTGAATCCCAAAGAGAAGAGAGTGGCCAGAGCCAGGGACCCCAGGTTGATAGGAGACCAGTGATCTTTCCCTGGTTAGCACCCCGCCTCTGGGAGCACCCTACTTCCTATCCCCACCAGTAAGGGCAGGGGGTGGGGCTCACCCGACAGGCGCTTGAAGGGTGTGTTCATGCCGTGGTGTAGCCGGAAACCACAGGCTGTGCTGACCAGCTCAGAGATGGCGCTGGCTGCCTGCTCATCATTCTCCAGATCCCCAGATGACTGCATGCACACGGGAGGGCGGCAGAAATTAGGGAACAGAACTGGGAAAGAATTTCAGGAACCACTTTGGCTCTGGCATTGGTACCCTCTTCCTCTCCACTTCCTAGCACCCTCGAGATCACCCGCTTTGGAAAACAAACCTAAAACTTTCCTATGATATTGTTGCCCTTCTAGATGCCATACTGGATCTCATGCTTATACTGCCCCCTCTTCCCCCTGAGCAGTGACTCCCATCCATTTCTTTACTGATCATTCTTTTCGAATCCCTTGAGACTTGATTTCTCTCCCTGTCGCCATTTATTTGATAGAACCACATTCTTAAACATCACTGACTTTCAAGGCTCTATCTTTTCCTGGCTTCCCACTTGTTGCCCTCCTGTCTGCAGAATCTGAAAGAAATATCCCTTTTGTCCTTGATGCCCCCCCCCCGCCTCCCCCCCAACGTGTGTGTGTGCACACGCACGCGCGCACACACACACACACACACACACACACACAAACACTCCAATTACATTACTTGGGTAATCATTATCACAGTGGCCTGGGCTTCCTCTTTTCAAGTGACTGTCACACTTCTCCCTCCCTCCTCAGGATGAGCCTCCCACTAGGTTAAGTTCAGTACCCTTTGCACCTCAGTTTCCTTGTCTTTGAATTAGAGCCAACAGCAGCTATCATATGGGCTTATGAGGGTCAAAACAGCTCTTAGCAATATATATTAACTGCTGTTATTCTATGTCAAACTTGATGTCTAAAGTTAAGCCATCAAAATTCCCCTTCCCGCTCCCATTCCCCGGTAAATTTCCTTTAGTCATTTCCTGTTAAAGGAACCATCATTGTAGCAGGTGCAAAGTCGTACCGAATGGAGAAGTATCTCCTCTATTATCTCTCTCTCTCTCTAGTCATTGATTCTTCCTTTACATTCTCTTCTCTCCTTGCTCCTCCTCAGTGCCACCAGTCCAGACTCATACATAGATTTCCTTCTGCAACAGCCTGCCTGCTTCTGGATCCCTCCCCTTCCAGCCCACCCTCTCACCCAATAGGACAATCTTGCTCAACTTTTATCAGCTCATATTTGTTTAAAAAAACCCTTCAAAGCTCCTATTGCCCCAGTCTTGCAAGGCCTCCACAATCACATCTTTTCTTACACACCCTTTTCTTCCCCCAAACTTCAACAGAAACGCACCATCAAAACAGGCATCACTCTTGCAAACGTATCCATCTCGGCCCTCTCCTTTTCTGCCTGTTCACAACCATTCTTCCTTTAAGCCCAGCTGACTTTTTTGTCCTTCAAGGATTCCTTTTCACAGCACAAGTTATAATAATAACCTTAAGGGTTGAATCCTTCATTTTCTGAACTCTTTCAGTAATCCTGACCCCTGGCATTGCTTAAAACTTTTGACCATAAGCCTGTCTCTCTAGCTAGATTGAAAACTTCTAGAAAGCTAACAACACTACATTGTACTAAGAAACAAAATAAAAAGCCTCTTCAATAAATAGCAAATAAAGACAACCAAAAATAATGGGTAATACAAGTTATCAACAAACCTGTTACTAGTTGTCTGACTTTGGTAAAGTTAGCAAACCCTTTTACCTCAGAATAATTACTATACTGAGATTCCAAGATTTAATTATTAAAGTGTACTATATCAATTAAGACCAAGAAGAGTGGGAAATTAAGCTCAACTGCGCAATGTTAGAAGGGATCACCGGGCCATGTGGAACTTGGGGGGATTCCACCCGCCCCCTTTGCCCAGAACGCACCGCCAGCACTGCGCCTTCACTCAGCACCAGGTAGCCGAGCTGGTCAGGAATTCGCTCCAGCCCGTGGGTCAGTGCAGAAGTCTAGCGGGTAAAGATGCAATCAGAAGCATTGCTAGGAGGAGGCCTCTATTCTCTTCATTTTCAACCCAAGTCTCTCATGTCCTGCCCCAGACGTTCTTTTCCCCAAGCCAGGGCCATTCCAGACCCTTTTCCCATTCTCTTTACATGGCCTTCAACACTGATTTTTTTCTTTGTAAATGGTATTTGTCTTGCCCTAGCTGGTTTGGCTCAGTGGATAGAGCATCCGCCTGCGGACTAAAGGGTCTCGGGTTCGATTTCGGTCAAAGGCACATGCCCGGGTTACGGGCTCCATCCTTACGTGCAGGAGGCAGCCAATCAGTGGTTCTCTCTCATCATTGATGTTTCTCTTCCTTGCGCTCTGAAATCAATAATATATATATATATATATATTTTTAAAAGGAATGGCATTTTCTTTAGAAATTTTCCATTGATTTTTAGAGTGTTAGCGAGAAAGTCAGAGAAATATCGATATGACACATTTTGATTGATTTCAGAGAGTGAGCGGGAGAGACAGAAACATCCATGATGAGAGAGAATCATTGATTGGCTGCCTCCTGCACGCCCTACTGGGGCTCCAGCCCAAAACCCGGGCAAAGTGCCCTCGACCACAACCGAACCTAGGACCCTTCCGTCCTCAGGCCTACACTCTATCCACTGAGCCAAACCAGGTATGGCATCACTAATCTTGAACCTCAATGTGTCCTCACCTTCTGCTCTTGGGCTCCCCCTTGTTCTCTCACATCCCACCGTTGCTACCCCCGGAGGCGTTCGCAGCCCCACTGGTCTCTCCTGCCCCCTGTCCAATCCTCCTCCGCAGACTACAACCGCCCACAAATCCCTCCTCAGCCCTCAACAATCCCTCCGTCCAGGGCGGCTAGGAGGTGGGGACATACTGCCGGCCGAGGAAGGGGCAACTAAACAATTTGGGGACAAGGAGCCCCCAGCGCGTCCTCCCGCGCATGCGTCCTCACTCACCATCGCTGCCTTAGGTGCTGGGGGGCGCTCCCAGCCAGACAGGAAGCTTCCGGCTCCGGACCGGGTCACGTGCTCCCACCAGGGCGTCTCCGCCTCCCGCCCAGCGTCGCGTTGAGCCAGTCGGCCTTCAGCCCCACCCCCAGGATGCGGATTGGAGCTCGGCTACGTCATCGCGCTGTCCCAGACGCACGCGGATTGGTCGCAGACCCTCGTTAACACCCATGTCCCCGCCCCTCTAAACCGGAGCGCGAGTAGCGGGGTGAAGTGCTGGCGGAGGAGTGCACCCTCAGGGGCGGGGCGGAGGCAGGAGGATGGGGCCCTGTGAGCGGAGGGTTGGAGGTATTTTCCCTGGCTAGCCTGCCCGCAGAGGTGACCACAGCAAGAGAATAAAGTGACATGCCTGTGAGAAGCTATTCAACTGCTACCCTCACCCTTCCTCCAGGCAGCTCTCCGTTTCATACCAGGATTTGTTCCCCAAACGGCTCCTTCCTGGGATTCTGCGAGGAGCCCTGTGATGGTGAATTGAATCCCTCGCTGGGCAACACAGCTTCAACTCTTAGTACTCTCTGCCAGAAAAAAAAAATTAGAAACAGTACTTTGGAGTCTTTTTGTAAAAAAAAAAAAAAAAATATATATATATATATATATATATATATATATATATATATATATATATATATATATATATTATTGATTTCAGAGAAAGAGATAGAAACATCAATGATGGCCGAAACCGGTTTGGCTCAATGGATAGAGCGTCGGCTTGGGGACTGAAAGGTCCCGGGTTCGATTCCGGTCAAGGGCATGTACCTTGGTTGCGGGCATATCCCCAGTAGGGGGTGTGCAAGAGGCAGCTGATCAATGATTCTCTCTCATCGATGTTTCTAATTCTCTATCTCTCTCCCTTCCTCTCTGTACAAAATCAATAAAATATATTTAAAAAAAAAAAAGAAAGAAACATCAATGATGAAAGATAGTCATTGATCGACTGCCTTCTGTACCCCACACTGGGGATCTAGCTGGCAGCCCAGGCATGTGCCCTGACCAGGAATAGAACCGTGATCTCCTGGTTCATGGATGAATGCTCAACCACTGAGCCATGCTGACCAGGTTGGAGTCAGCATGGCTCAGTGTTGTTTTTGTTTGTGTGTTTTTTAAATCCTCACCCGAAGATCTTTTTCCATTGATTTTTAGAGAGAATGGAAGAGAGCGGGAAAGATAGAAATATTGATGTGACACATCGATTGGTCCCCTACTGCAGGAGCTTTTAATATTTTATTGATTTTATACAGAGAGGAAGGGAGAGAGATAGAGAGTTAGAAACATCGATGAGAGAGTCATCGATCAGCTGCCTCTTGCACACCCACTACTGGGGATATGCCCACAACCAAGGTACATGCTCTTGACCGGAATCGAACCCGGGACCTTTCAGTCCCCAAGCCGACACTCTATCCATTGAGCCAAACCGGTTTCGGCAGAATGTTGTGTTTTAATTTAAATAGTTTAAATTGCTAATTTAAACTATTTAAATTAATACTAATATGACTGAGGCAGTGTTGATAGGTAAAGTGAAGGATGATGCTAGAAATAAAAACAAGTATTTGTTGGGAGAGAATGTGGAGAAATTGGAGCCCTCACATTGCTGGTGGGGATGTAAATTGGTGCTGCTGATGTGGAAAACATCCGATGTTCCTGGAAAAATAAAATATAGAGTTATTGTATGACTTAGCAGTTCCACTCCTAGGTAGCTACCCATGAGAATTGAAAACATATGTTCACGCAAAAACTTATACTCAAATGTTTACAGCAGCATCATTTATAATACCATCCAAATGGAAACAATATAAATATCCCTAAACAGAAGAATAGATAAATAAAAAATGACATATCCATACAATGCAAATATCACTGTAAAAAAGGAATGAAGTACTGATACATGTCACAACATGAATAAACATTGAAAACATAATGCTAAGTTAAAGAAATCAGACACACACAAGGCCACATATCGTGATTCTCTGTACATCTAAACTAGACTGAAAACAATTTAGTGGTTGTCAGGGGCTGGGGAGAGGGGATAATAGAGAGTGACTGCTAATAGGCATGGGGTTTCTTTTGGGGTGATAAACATATTCTGGAATTATATAATGATGATGATTGCACAAACTTGTGAACATAATAACAATTGAATTATACAATTTGTTATATAATAATAAAAGTACTATTGCTTGAGGAGAAAGCTAATTAGAGAAGTTGCCTTTTTATAAAGAAGGTATGTTTTTAAAATTTAAACTGGAGGAAGATGTAAAGAGAGGGTTTTGTGGAGATGTTTAATTCGCAAAGCCTTTCTGGTCTTAGTATTGATGACAGTTTATATAATAGTATAATTTTTCTTGGTGTTTATTGTTCAGAACATTTCCATCCATGAACTCATCTAACCTTCACATTACAAACCCTGTAATAGTATTCTCATTTTGCAATCAAGGCAGTGGAAACTCAAGAGAGGTTGAGCCTTGCTCTAAGGGACATTGCTGGCAAGTGGCAAAGCCAGATTCCAGTCTAAGTTTGCTGAGGCTGATGCTTTTTCCATCACTCCATGGGCCAACTATGTCTCCTGTTATTTTAATCTACATTAAATATTACTGAATTTCCTGCACTCGTTTTTCTTGCCCTTAGCAGGACAATGCTTATTAGCCATCATCCAAATTGTTTCATTTTTCACAAACAGCTTGAATCATACTAGTCATATAGAAAGCAAAGTTTCTCTCATTATTTCATTCACCAAATGTCCATTGAGCACCTTCTATGTACCACATACTCTTCTTGGAACTGGACGTACAATAGCGAGTAAGAAAAAGACGTATTTTTGTTTGTTTTCAAGGAGCTGTGACAGAGAGGGTGACCAAGATGATAAATAAATAAGAAAATAAATGTTAATTGGTGATAAGTGCTATGAAGAACAATAAACAGAATTCCATTTACACCAAGTTCAAAAACATTAAAAAAAAACAAAAACAACTAAATGTATCATTTAGGGAGATCATATGCACACAACAGGGAAATATATCTCAAAAAAATAAAGATCAAGGGAATAATAAAATTTGGAATAATGGTTACTATTGGCATAGAGAGGGGGATGAGACAGAGAGAAGAACAAAAAGTCTAAAATTGTTGATAATTGCTATAGACTGAATGTTTGCGTTTTCCTTCGAATTCATATGTTGAAACCTAATCTCTAATGTGATGGTGTTTGGAGGTGGGGACTTTTGGAGGTGCTTAGGTCATAAGGATAGAGACCTAATGAGAGACCTCACAGTCTCTTTTATAAGAGCACAGCAAACAGATGGCAATCCATGAACCTGAAAGTGAGCTCTCCCTAGACACTGAATCTGTTGGTGCCTTGATCTTGGACTTCCCAGCTTCCATAAATGTGAGAAATAACTGTTTGTTGTTTATAAGTCCCCTTACCTCTGGTATTCTGTTATAGCTGCCTGAATGGACTATAGCAGTAATAGTTTATTTTTTAAGTTCTAAGTCTGTACGTATGAATATATATCTAAATACTGTTTTTAGTACATGAAAGATTTAATAATTTCTTAAAATATATTTTTTTAATGTAAGTCTGTGACCCAGCAATTTCACTCCAAAGTCTATACACAACAGAAATGTTCACCCAAAGATATGTACTGGAATGTTTATAGAAGCTTTATTCCTAATAACTCAAAATTGAAAACTACCCCAATGCCTATCAATGATTGAATGGACAAATAAGTTGTGTCATATTCATGTAATGAAACACTCACTATAAAGCAATGAGAATGAATGAATGAAAATGACACACAATCACCTGAATGAATTGCACAACCTTGATGTTGAGTGAAATAAGTCAATCCCCAGAGAGTACATTCTGTGTGATTCCATTTATGTAATTTATTCTAATTTATTCTGTTAGAAATCAGGATGGTGATTATCCATGGAGGAAGGGTTGAGACTGGACAAGATGGGTATTTCTGGGCATTGCTAATGCTGTTCCTTGATTTGGATGCTGGAGATTTGTGTACATTCATTTTGTGAAATTTAGTTAACTAGGTATATGTATAATATAAAATTTTCCTATATATATATATATATATATATATATATATATATATATATATATATATAATACTTGAATAAAAAGGTTAAAAAATGTGGAGTGGGAGGATATGAAAGGTTGGGAGGAGTGGTGTGTGTGCTATTTTATATCAAGTGAGCAGGATCAGTCTCTCTGAGGAGGTGACAGCGAAGCAGAGATCTGAGGGAGTAGTACGCTGTGTCATTATTTTCTCCCCGGGGGAAGAACATTCTGGTGAGTGCTCATGCGACTTGTCTTAGACTAGGAGTTCTTTGACATAGGACCTAGTGTACCTTTGATATTCCAGTATCTAGCACATTGCTAAACTGAAAGTGGAATAGTTTTGTGTTGTTGTTATTTTTTTTCTGTATTATCCCAGTCATTTCTAGGACTTCATTCTGGTTTTAGAGACTTTTTTCCTTTGGCTTCATGGTCTCTGACTCTGCTCTTTGCCCTTCCATGGCACTTTCTTCTTTTGAAAAGGAGGGGACAAATTCTGATATGTGAAATTCATGCATGGGTGGGGAGCCCTCAGCCCAGCCTGCACCCTCTTCAATCCGGGACCCCTCGAGGGATGTCCAACTGCCAGTTTAGGCCCAATCCCACAGGGTAGTCAAATATCCCTCTCACGATCAGGGACTACTGGCTCCTAACTGCTCACCTGCCTGCCTGCCTGATCACCCTTAACTGCCCCCCCCCCCATGGCCTGGTCATCCCCAACTCTACCCCCACCCCCCCGCTGGCCTGGTCACCCCCCCGCTGCCCTCCCCCCTGCTGACCTGGTTGCCCCACACAACCTGCTGTTCAGCATTTGGTCATCCCTCACTAACCCCGTCAACCTGATCTCCCCAGGCAGCCTGTTGCTCAGTCATTTGGTCATCCCTTACTAACCCCCCTGCCGGCCTAGTTGCCCCATGCAGGATGCTGCTCAGTTGTTTGATCATCCCTCACTAACCACTCCCCTGCCGGCCTGGCTGCCCAATGCAGCCTGTTCAGTTGTCTGTTTGGTTGTTTTGGTTGCACGGTCGCTTAGGCTTTTATA